AATATCATTACAGGAAAATTAGCTTCATTGAACTGACAAGGGTATAGGAAGTTGTAAAGGAGAGTACTTACAAGGATACGACCAAATAGTTTGATGTTTATTAACTCGCGAAGGACCCAATAGTTCAATGTTTATTAACTCCGGGGGCAGGTCTCGCAGTAATTTTAGCATTGATGGATTGACGGGGTATTTTGCCAGTGTTTCTGATACGGAGATGGATGGACCGAAGATCTCTACGAGGACTTATTTCCTTATCGCACAAAACCGTTCCAGGCTGACCATCAATCTTTGTCATATAGATTCTTGTGTAAATTGTGTGATATTATGCAAATGTGACAAGAGCATTGAAGAGCGAGATTTTATTATTGGGTGGGAGACACTGCTGTGATCCCAATAACAATTTTTCTATCACAAATGGGGAAGGCTTGAAGTGACTCATTCCTTCCAAGTGGTTAAGTTCAGAGAATTGCTGCAAGACGTATTTATCGATATTGGGATTTATATCAACACTCTGGACAGATTTATATTGACACTTCGGTGGTCAGCCCTTCGTCCAGGTTGAGATGACACTAGAGACTGACTATAGCCACCATGTTATAACCAATCACCAATCAGCCTGACCAGGTCCAGTTTGGCCTTATCAAAGGACATTATTCCTCTGATCTGTGGTAGACACTGTGCCCAATTCCCAGTGAAACATGCCACTTGCCCTATCCATAGATCACAATAATATATCACCAATTTGTTCGGACATTCCCACACAATGGTCAAGAGGTGTCCAGTATCATGTCCAGTATCATGTCCAGTATCGGTCAGCCATCAACACCTCCGCCCCCTTTGTAATGGAAACCAGTCCCAACATGGCGGTGTGGTCAGGTTGCCAGCATTCTGTCATCACCGCCCTGGTTTATGATGACCCCATGGTCAAGCTGGTGTGTCCAGCACGCCCTGTCTGATTGACCAATTGACCAGTCCAATAAAAAATCAGTTTTCACACAATTTAGGGCGTTTAAGGGGATGTAGTGATTGAATATTAAAAACCACAGGTGTAAATGGGTGGAGAGGAACCATGGGTACTAACAGAGGTTCAAAGTTCATATGTTATATAACACATACACTACAATACAATACATACCTCACATACAACATATTATATACACTTGATTTGTAGCATACATATTAATACATTATTAAAGTTGATATAATTTAACCTGTTATTTATGGTAATAATCTTGTGTCAGAAAACACCCCTGAAATTTTATAATGAACTATTCCAACCTTTGAATTGGAAGAGTTCAAATGTGTCTTAAGGGGTGAATGAGTGAAGAATCTGTTTATATTATTATCATATTAATTTTCATAGGAGATTCAACAAAATGCTTCTGACTTTTAACATAGGGGTGTTGGTAGAAGTCTATTTGACCGGATACACTGGTCAGAAAACTCTAACACTGGTCAGACAACTCTAACATTGGTCAGAAAACTTTCGTACAGCTGGGTATATAATAGATAGATACTGTTTGGTCATAAGTGATCTGTAAAATTTTGACCAAATATTTGGTCAGTTTTAGCCACCATCTGCCCAATAGACCACCAGAATGACCAGTCCAGAGCTTCTGACAAGTTGCAGCGGTCATTGTTTACACTGGTCAATGAGTGTAGCACTGGTCAGTGATGGCAGGACTACATGTGTTCCTGCTGCGGTCATCCCCCTGGGGAGAACTGGCACGTGTTTCTTTCCTCCTCATTGCCACCATTGTTTTGGCTGTTTACTCAAAAATGGAAAATTCAGCATTTTACATTCCCGTTTCTCCCATAAAATGGTTAAAAATAAATTACAGTAAAAAAAACAATTTCAGGCATACATGTATTGTAGGCTGATCAGCCTCAAGAGCCATCAAGTTTAACAATATGCAAAAAAAATACACTTGCAAACAGTTTATGTTTGCAGCCTCCGGAGCCCCTGTACACACAAACATTTTATATGGGGACCAGCTTTGCGGAGCCTCCATGCGATACACACTCTACATGTGTTTACTGCGAGTGAACAATTAACATATCTTGCAGAAACGGCATGTAGCAGGAACATACTGGCAACACAAACATTTTTATAACATTTATCTGTTTTCTCACAAAGTAGAGGGAGCCTCATTCATCATGTGGTTAAAATTCTACGTGGACTAAATTAGCTCCCACTCCCTGAGGCCTGGCACTGCAATGTTTGACTGCGACGTCGTCACTGGTGCTGCTTATAGTGCTCGGAGTATAATATCATTATTGTACCGAATCATTTAATTCTAATTGTACAAATATATTACTACCCGACATTGTAAAAAAACGTTAATTAATATATTTTTTTCTTTCATTTTGATTAAATGAAGATTTGTAAGAAAAGATTACAAACAGCATGCTGAGTTTTGCAGGAATGGGTGTGAAGCCCCCTAATCTTGCCTGTTCTCGCCTTGTCTACCGCCAAGTAAACACTTCAGGTCGAACATTCTCACATCCACAGGCAGAGTCACGTAGCCTGTTTACAATCCACCACACGACACCAGACGACACCAGACACGTGTACGCGACAACACAAACAGGGCTGCGGGATTATACCCACGAGTACCTAAACCCCAACTTGTAAATTTGTATGTAAATAGTGATATTTGAAGTTGTAGGACATGAACTGGCTTTTAATGTTACCTTTAATGTTTGATAGATGGGTTGTCCACTCCGGGTAGTGACGCGTCGTCGATCCTGGGTAGTGACGATCCGACCCCCTACCGACCGACACCAGATTCCCTTGTACTAGATATTTAAGTGTAATTTTGTACTCGCAATTAGGGAAGGGGATCTTGGACCAGAAACATTTTCAAATATTATTCACAAATATCTTTGAAAAAAACACAGGTTAAGGAATTAAGGGTTCAGGTTTGTTCTTCAACCTGGATAAATTTATGTAAATCCAGTGTTATAACACATGTTATTATGAAACCAATAATCTTTTGGGAAAGATTGACTGTTGCACAAAATGTTGCCATGTGAGTGTTATGAAGTTTCTGTAGGCAAATTTATCTATTGAGAAAAAAATCTATATAAACAAGTTAACTCTGATAACAAAAATGTATTTTTTAATGGAGAAGATATGTCATATTCAATCTATGTCACTATTAATAATTCAGGTTACATCTATTTTATCACACACCTTACAAACACCCAGATGACCCTGCTGATTTTAGCACACAAATATTAGCACATATATATGTGTGCTTTACAAACACCAAGATGACCCTGTCAACTTTCCTTGGTAACTGACCCCACAATACACGATGGAATACAAGTACGTGACATGGGGTCTATACAAGATTGGTGGTCGTTATCAGATCTCATTCACATACGTCTTGATCACGTCGGCTTATCACCCCCAACTTGTCAATTACAGCTCATACAGGTTATCAACAAATGTCTCCATGCTCATCAATTCCACTATCTCGCACGTGATTCTCAGGGCTAATCAAAATAGAATTTATATGCTTTCATCCCGTAAAAAACTACACAGCCTATCTACAGCTTTNGGGGGGGAAATTTCATCCAGTGTTTGTTTCCGAAGGTGATGTGTGAATTATAATTAATAAGTACTAGGTAAGGTTGTTAAAGGGTCATCAGGGTTATCATAGTGTGATAGGGTTATCATAGTGTTATAGGGTCATCAGGGTTATCAAAGTGTTATAGGGTCATCAGGGTTATGTTGGCTTATGATGATGCTATAGGGTTGTCAAGATGTTTTAGGGTTCTCTGGGTGTCAAAGGGTTATCAGATTGCCATAGGGTTAACATGTCCTTACAATGCTATCAGAATGATTTAGGGTCTCATGTTGTTATAGGGTTATCAGGGTGTTCAAGGGTTATCATAATGTTATAGGGTTATCAGGATGTTATATAGGGTTATCAGGGTATTCAATGGTTATGCAAATGCTGAAGGGTTGATTTGTAGTGATTAAAAAATGTAGGGTTATCAAGATGATGTAGGGTTATCAGGATGTTGGAGGGTTATCAGGATGTTGGAGGGTTATCAGGATGTTATACAGGGTTATCAGGATATGGAAGTTTTATCATAACTGATAAGTATTTCCACAGACACCAGTTCTCTGATCTCTGACAGTTGGTGGACCTGTTTGTTTATCATCAGATATGCTAATAAATCTAATGATATTGATATTTTGGCCTTTTCTGTCCCTTTGACCCTGTAAAATATTTAAATGTTTATTCCTATGGGGGATCATTAAACCCCTATAATGATGGCCCTTTTGACTGGATTATGGCCCCTTGTGCTGGTGCCCAGATGGAAGAGCAGTTGTCAGTAGCCATCTTATGTCACAAGTACTTTGACTTGTCATCAAATGTGGCAACGGAACAGGTGCTCCCTACTCAAGCCGACCAATCGGTCATTCACTTTAATGTCAATTTTATGGTCAGTGGCTGGAGAAAATGACCATTTACATTTATTGACTGACCAAAGGTCTGTTGCTATCATTATTGTAATTCCAACCTTTTCAAGGTGCCCCGCTATATCTCCTCAGATATTTGGTCAGCGCATTCATGTCCTAAAACAAATAAACCTGTAGCGGTCAGCACAACTGGTCAGTATGTTAATGAGGCGGTCACTAGAATTCCATTTAACAGATCAAATTGGATCTGTCCATCACATTGGACATTAATATTCCAGGCACATTGTTTTATGATGTCAGAGTAACCCCATCCTCTGTTGTCATGGCTGTGGTTTCTATGGCAACGAGACAATACAGGAAGTGTTATCAGCCACTTCAGAGGAAATAGAGAAGTTGATGAAAATAGGAAAAAATGTCATATTAAATGTATATTGAATCAAATGTCATTCTTTGTTTTGTAGAATTAATGAAATATAGATATGAAATTAATAAATAATAAATGTCTGTAGCTGTTTGTAGTTGGTAGCACCACAACCTAAATTGTTTATTTTTTTCGTTACAGCTGCTGCCCCGAACCAGAACTTACCGAACCCTCGAATTACGGAACATCCACAAGATGACTATTTATCGCCTAATAACCCAGAAACCCTGGACTGTCGGGCGGAGGGCGACCCTAAACCCACCATAACGTGGTATCACAATAACGATCGCGTGATCACCTATCCTGAAAATCCATCGTCCCCGAAGATGATAATCGAAGACAGGAAATTATTTTTTCTAAGTGTAACGCACAACAAAAAGGAAACGGACGTCGGAGTATACTACTGCAACGCAACAAACATACATGGCAGTGCAATAAGTCGAAATGCATCGCTGAAAATTGCTGGTAAGTTTCTAGCTTTGATGGGGAAAATATTAAAATCCTCCACAAAATAAACGAACCAATCTGATGGTAGACTCCAATTCCTTAAAGATTCTATCTTCAAAGTCTATAGGGAAATTTGTAGTTTTAGATTTTGGACTCAACAAATATTTTTTAGCCTTCTGACATGTTGCGAGACTGTTTGAAATGGATTGAAATGAGAACCGGTGTTCCTGTTACAAAGAGCCGTAGGCTTTTTGGGAGTGTGTGAAAGAAAATGTTACTGGGGTGACTTTACGAGGAAATGCGTGTGTTATATTCATACATTTCTACTAATAGTTCATACATATATATAAGCTTTCAAAGTTATCTGATAATATTTTTTTATATGTTTTGGGTGCAATTGCCTTTAAAAGAAAACAGATATGTTGAAGATCAGGTTATACGATGCAAAAATAGATTATCAGTAGTTTTTAAATGAAAAAAACAAATTGTAGCAATAAAATTGGATTTTAAAAAAAGTTGAAAGATTTTGCACAGTACAAACATCAGATCATATGTGGGAGGTAAAATATGCGTCTAAGATAAGGGGTACTCTAGAAAAAATATTGGATCGCTATGTTGGAAATCATATATAGTTTAACAGCATTATGAACCAAGTTGTTAAAAAATGATAAGCTTTACAATCATATAACACAAAATCTGAATATGAAATATGTTCAAAGAGATAGAAATTTGTAAGTAAAATTACATAAATAGGATTTAAATGACTGTCGAAAGACAAGAAACACATAAATATTTTTTTAATTTTGTGAAATTTTCTTCAAGAAACATATTTTGAAAATTTGTGTTAAAACTGCTGTAAGCTATTTATGCGTTGGACATGTCTAAAGATGTCTGTGATGTTTACGATAATGAAGAGTGGTCTGTACGCTATTATTGAAGAATCAACTGTGCAGATTAATGATTTGATGGTGTTTAACCCTGCAAAACCATCCGTATCACGAACAACAAGGCATAGCACATCCAACGGGAATTAAGTGCTAGATTATGTAACTACCACACATTTTTTTTCTTTTTCTTTGTCATAATGGAACAATTCAACTTCATAAAGAAGCGATTTTCATCGTTAACAGAAAATCCCAGAGCTCCTTTATCATAATATTAATTAATACATAAAGTCGCTATTACATAAACCCATTAACCCTGTCATCCCTAATATTTCAAGATGAACTGCACTTCACATTCATTGGAACCTTCCATGTTGATATTTTGGGGGTCAGTGAACAGTTAGCTTGACGTTGCGTTGTAGTATTTGTTGGGTTAAGCTAACCAAGCGTCAGGTGAGAGGGTCAAGCTGAAGGAGCTCTGTATACGCTTAATTAAACCAAATGTTAGTCAAATTTCACTTCCTTACTATATATTCCCGATAATCTGAAATCAATATTCTTTCCACATGGAACAGCGTGTGTTTTGATTCACCGCGATCATTCAAGTCGAGAAATGCGAAAATACTAATGTTTTTCCGTGACCACAATTTGACAAATTCTGTTAACATTGTGTCGACGATCCTACGTCGACTTTGGGTAGCACTGTTACTGCTGTGTCGCCAAATTTAAATCTTCTGTCAGGTTTCCGCTCCACGTAGAATTCGAAAGTGATTCACCTGCGTGCAGTCGTTCATCATGAGAATATATTTCCTTCTTTGACGAAATAAACACAGAAATTAATTTTCTAAAGGAAGAAAAGCTGATGTAATTTTCCATTCAATTTATTCCCTTCAAAGCATTTTCATAGAATCATTAAACGTATAAAAATTCAGCGTTTGAAGATGAAATTGTCCGCAGCATGAAGCCTGCTGATTCCTCGGTCAGGTCTGATAGGTTTAATATACTCCAAGTGGATTGTGATATATCAGTGGAATCACTCTGCATTTCTTATCAGGCCTACGGTAAATATCGCAAAATTCAGACGGCAATAAATCTTTAAAAAAATCAAACATTCTGGCAACTGTCCGTACCATAACAAAGAATATTTTATAGAAACACAAGCAGTTTTTATCTGAAATATATCATTACAAAAATATTTAAAGAAGTTAAACTGTGTAATGTTATCAAGGGCCGACAATATTTTGTCACATTTACCGTAGGGATGTTCTCCTGATCTGGGATTCCTATCGAAATTGGCCACTCTTTACCAGAATCTATATGATGGAATGAGAAGAAAAAAAAAGGAATAAATTTAATTTGATGATTTATCGCAGAGCAGGTAGCGCCCCCTGGTGGAGAAACAGGAGGCATCTGATATCCATCATGTTAAGTAGATCAACAAAACATGACACCTCACCAATAAAAATGGGATAGTTATGAAAAATGTATTTAACGATGTGAACTTCAAATTCCAAACTATAAATCGCTGGGTAAAAGCAAAACAGGAGGCCGTAAGAAACTTGAGTAGATTTATATATATGTTTATTTTTTTCCGTGATCAGGGTTTAGTGGAGGCTTGAGGGATAGACACAGTCTGTGGGGTGTGACACCATATAGTCGTTTGTGTGGTCCATCACAGACCTTTATAATGGTTAACTACCACAGATTTTGGTACCGTGCTCTTTCGTTACGAAAATAAAGATATTTTTCTGTAGTATGATTATCTTCACACCTATATAAGTATTTTTGATATCCAATTAAAAAAATTGATTAAAAAATAATATTAGAAATATATACATCTTTCTTGTATTTTTCAGTTTTGAAAGATAATTTCCGTGAATCTCCGTCCGGCCAATCTGCAGCGGTAGGGGAGACCGTTACGTTTCACTGCCAGCCACCGAAGGGGGAACCAGAACCAACCATTTTGTGGCTGAAATCCAGCGAACAGATTCAGACAGGAAGTAGTAACAACCGCTTCCAGGTCAAACCCAACGGTGACCTCGTCATCACGTCTACACGAAAACGGGACGCAGGCATCTATAAATGTATTGCCAGCAACAAGGCCGGGGAACGGGAGAGCAGTCCAGCAACACTCAAAGTTTTAGGTAAATAGACTTGATTCTGGACAAGCAGATAGATCTCCAAAGTTTATTGGCCAGCCAAATTAAGAAACACCTTACACAGAGTTATTTTCTCATTTAGAAATAAAAGTGAGAAGTTTGTCGGGAAGTAATTCATTGAAATTGATGAAATTTCGAGTCTAGAAATGAACAATGGATACGAGAAGTAATTGTTTGTGTGGACTAAAGATTCCTCAGCAATTACACTGTCGCTGATGGTTTATACATTCAGTCTTACACAAAACAAGGCAAATTACTTTGTCAAAATATATCACCCAGTTTGACAACTTATTGAAATTACCATGTCAGTATATATCAAATCTTGATGGAAAGTTTGAAATTACATTGTCAAGATATGTGAATACCTTTTTGGAAGAGAAATTTAATTTATGCTGTGTTTTGCAGAAAAGCCGAGCTTTCGGCGCTACCCCGTGGATGTCACTACCACGGAAGGCAAAACGGTCGAGTTCCCTTGTGATGTCATCGGTGACCAACCTCTGAATGTTGAATGGAAGAAAGAGGGAGGAGTTATAAAATATGGAAGGTAAAAAAATTGCAATGTTTAAATTTTTCAAATTAGTCTTTCTAATAAACCATTACAAGATAAAATTAAATGTCTTGAATGTAAAAATGTGACATGATGATTTATTATCAAAGTTTAATAAAGAGATTTCTCCATGTAAGATGAAAAGTGATTTCTCCCTGGAAGATGAACAATGATATTTCCCAAGAAGATAAACAATGATTTCTCCCTAGAACATCAACAACAACTTCTATTGGTAAGATAAAATAATAATTTCTTTCATTAAGGTAAAAAACAGTGATACGGTATAAAAATAGTGTCTCTCCAATAAGAAAAACAATGATTTCTCCCCACAGGATGAGAAAGCTTCCAGACCACATGCTGCGTATAGAAGATGTGGAGTCTAGTGACGCAGGCACCTATATCTGTGTGGCTACCAACGCTGTGGGCACCACGGAGGCTGTGGCAACCCTTACCGTACAATGTAAGTCTGATAACGATAACAGAAACATGGATGACCTTCACCTTTCTATGTCTTACAGACACTGTTTGTCATACTACGAACAATTTGTGTAGAAGTACATTGTTGTTTTTAAACACAGAACTAACTACACTGTGACATCACCTTTTGGGTCGACTGACAAGGCACTGGGGGTAAAGTGTGACTAATTAAAACACAACATGTCGGGGCTCACGTTAATTGATTTCCTCTTGCACGGGTCCAGATCTTCAATCACCTACGACACCTTTACATACTTGTCATGTGACCTGTCGCGCCCCTCGTTTGTCACTTGTCACGGAGACACGTTGTGATTAGTTTCTTGTTTGTCTTTATGACAAGGCAGGATCGCCTTAAATTACAATATGTTATCGGAGAGTCTGGCCTTGCAGCTTTTTCTCCTGGATTGTGTATTGATGTTTTGTCATATTACTAAAGACCTATACATAAATTCTATGTATACAAGATGAAATTGACATATTTCGATAATAGAAATGTATTTATTATTCATAATGTGATAGAGATGTGTATTGCCATAGTGTCAGATGTGAAATAGACAAATTGCTATGTTTATATCATCCTTGACAATGAAATTAGCGTGCTGCACCTGTGTTTGGACATATAAAATACACAAGGTTGTCTTGAAGACAGAAAGTAACAGATATTTAATTTATAAATTTGTTAAGTGAGAGAGGGAGGCATGCAGTTTTCCTGGAGACAGAAAGTGGAAAAAGGCTCTTATAAAAATGATAATTCAGAGAGCAGGGCTTTTTTAGCATTACAAGGTGTTTGATGAGGGAGGAACAGTTTTATTGAATTGAAGGAAACAGTGTGATTTATAGAAATTGAGGAAAGAGTAATATCTTTTAAGTTAGATGAGGTAGAACCAAGGTGATCATACAGATGAGAGAGATTGATAGGGATACGATAACTACAACATTACAAGATGATGATATAAAAGTGAGGGTGTGAAAACGGATGACACAGTCTGCTGTTACGGGGTTTTATACACGAGACACAGAATACCTGCTATCAATAATGCAGGTAGCAGCCTGATGCCTTATGCTCCCGACATCTCATTTGAATATGATTCACGACCTTTATCATACCTAGATACCTTTTTATGGTCCAGTTTCCTATTTCAAAATGATATCGCACACCATGAAAAAATGTCTTGTGTCGACAGACGAGTAATGAGGCGCATAAAGACTAAAATCATAATTGTCAAATATTCACAATAAACCTTGTCTAGGAATCTGTCGTCACATGACCAACAGTCGGTAACTATGATGTGAGGTTTATGAGGAATATCGCAGTAATTGTCACCGTGAGGGTTCGTTAGTATACAAACAAAATGCAGCTACTTCAAATGAAATTTGACAAAGGAATTTTTTTTTCTGTAAGATTTGAAGAAATATTTAGTAGAGCTGAACTTTACGAGCCGTGTTGGGTCGTAACTGCCTTACTCTATAACAGGGGTGTGAAGGGAATGGTATTAATATTTAATATATGCGGAGAAACGGGACCTTATTAGTGGACCCTGGGGAGTCTCGGAGACAGGTAAAATATCATTCAACTCGTTAACGACAAAATAGAAACTTGTCTCACCTTTTCCCACCTGTAAAATTTATACCTGCTTGTCCATCCGCTAACGAGATAGGACTTATATACACATCATTGTCTTTGGTTGGCTGGTTTCACAACTGTTTTGTGACTTTTCGGTTATAAATGACAAATGTAAATGTTGGTCTTTTGTTGAGTAGAGACTTGCTTATGTGAGGGACTTTGAAGATAAAAGTTTGTCTATTGTCAAAATTTTTCGTGCGACTAGAAGGTAAACAGCAGTAAAGTTATGTCGCCGTCTCCTCGTTAAACCATAAATGTCAATGGAAACAAAACACAGGAAAATTGTTTAAATATTTCTCTGTTAACTTGAGGCTATGAAGCACCTGTTTGTAGTTTATGACCATGGTTGCTTTTTAAAAACGGAGGAGTCATTGTAATTAAAAAAAAAAAAAATATGAAATAACTCAGAAGTAATATTATTTTGTTTATAGTAAAAAATAATACTAATTGAAATTTTTCGATTTTTTCTTGCCTTTCTTCATAATAATTTGGAACTTATGAATTTAACTGGATAACAATCAGTCTGTTAGAAATTTTGTATACAAACTGGCTTTTGTTGCGTTTTTGACCGCTGTGTTCTTCGTTTTTGCAGTCAAGCCTGTGTTTATCGTGAAGCCCCAGGACAAGCACGTAGCCGTTGGACGGACAGTTACCCTCCCGTGTGCTGTGATGGCGAACCCTGTCCCGAACATTTACTGGAACAAGAAACGTTCATTGAGCACTTCAAGTAAAGAGGTAGGTAGCTCGGAGGTTTTCGGGGTATTTCCGCAGTAGTCATTTTCACAGTGGTCATTCAGTACTTTCAATAATGAGGTAGTTGTGAGGTTTTGACAGTATTTTTGCACAGAAATGTTGGCCCTATTATTGATAGTCTTTCTGTCCTCAGAACCCTGTGACAAGACACTGGTTAGACATGGACACCTTCAAGTATTGTAATTGCATCACAAATTGACTGTATTTGACAGCAGACAGCAAAATCCCTGAATTATTTGTAAAAGAAATACTGTTAACTTATTCACCCCTGAAATTTCTTAATGAACTATTCCAACCTTCGAATTGGAGGAGTTCAAATGTGTCTTCAGGGGTGAATGAGTTAAGGAAAGAAAATGCAAGTGTACAATCGATCTCATATTATACTTTGGTAGATTCAAACATTTTCCCATCCATACAAGATAGTTTCTTCAGATTTACTGAAATAGGAAGTTTGATGAAAACAAGGAGAGTTTTTAGACTGTTTATGGCAGCTACAGACAGGGCATTGTGGGTATAAAACATAAGTGGAGCTCTTTTGACGAAGGAGATAATAATTGATTTATTATCTCCTTCATCAAAGATCTCCATACCATAAGAGCTGTAACAAAGTACACCATGCTTGGTTCCGGGGATTGTGGATAATATAAATGACACAAATCACCAGCTTTAAAATATCTTTGACGATAAAAAAAATAGAAATTGATCAATGGTTTTGATTGAAGAGTTCTTTTTTTGCGGATGTTTACAAACCGACCCTGTGGTAGTAGCCGATTAGCCATTGATTTCTTGTACCAGTCTCTTAATAGCATCATTATATTTCCATGATTGGGAAGTTTTTCGGTGTCTCGCCTAAAAATATTGTGACGAAATCTTGCAAAAAACCCAGACAAAGAATTTGTTCATCCCCGATGATACGAGGGGCATGATTCAACGCGTCCCTTGTGTCAACAAAAACACGCTCTCCTCCAATCAACAGTCGCCAAACAAATTGATGCTCTCGAGGAATTTCTCAATCTTCTTAGAAAAGATTTCCTGTTGTTGTTGTCATAGCAACAGAGGGTTAAGCGTTGCCTGCGTCTTTCTGTAAAAAGATTTGTCCAATTTGACATCTGACATCTTGGAGATTAATCTTGGGAATACTTTCTGACTTTCGGGGCTTTTGATGAGCAATGCTTCTAATTAAATCAATGATTAAATTTTTGTCAAATTTGACGGTCTGGTATGAAAAAGGAAGATGGCGGCTGCCACAATCAATATTGGAAACCTTAGTGAGGTTTTTATTAAGGTATTTATTCACACTCTGTGGTAAGGGGGAGGGAGGAATGAAAAATACGTTTCAGCCGAGTTTTTAATTCACCAAAATTTGCTGAATTTTCGAAATGCTTCCTTGCAAATTATTATTTTGTTGTTTCAGATTTGGTCAATACCAAATGCATACCAATCGTTATTTGCAAAAATCTATTATTTTCGAATCAAAACTCTTTTGATGTTGTTAAGTTTGAAAATTTATCAGTCAAACTAAATTACTAAAAAAAAAAAAAATTGAATGTTGAACTAAATTCCCTAAGAACAAACAAAAATATTGATGGTTTAGCAGTAAAAAGTGTTACATTTCAACATGAAATAATTATTTTAACATCATGGATAATTGAATTTGGGTTTCTCCGTGAAGGCTGAATTGGGGAGTTTTAATGAAAACTGAAATATTTGAGTCGACACCTGTGAATCATTCAACATTACGTTAAACAGTAAGGACGAAGCTGACAGACGAGGTACAAGCTCCACGCAACACTCCTGTTTCAGATGCCTGTAACAAAATATGCCAAAACCTGTTTTAGAGTTGTACTGTACTTCTAGTTGGATTATTAAGTTTTGACACATAAGATAGATTACATGTTNCGGGGGGGGGGGGGGGGGGGGGGGGGGGGGGGGGGGGAGGAGGAATGTCTCCCAATGTCTCCCGGTATGATGTTTCCAGCTGGTGTGTTGAACACCAGACCCCTGGTGTCTGCTCCCTCAAAATGAAATTGAAACCTGAAATATCAAAAGTACCAGATGATATGTTACAGCAGGTTTAAATACAGAAATAGACCACATTCTGATAATAGAGTATTTAAGTAGGATCTAACAATTGTACTTCTTTGTATTCATTTACAATAAAATTATGCCAAATATGCCATGAATTTTCTTCATCTTTATAAAAGACATAGATTGTTTCAAGTTGTTATTCCATCAACAAATTATTTTTGAAAAAAAGATGGAGAAAATACTGACAAAATCTCATGGTGCATTTTAATGAAAATGTATTTAAAGTGAATGTCTTTTGATTTTAAAATTAATTTCCTATTCAACTTGAGCATAAATCTCTTTAAATATTGTTTCTGAAAAGAGTTTGATATAAATTTACACATTCAGTTAACAGTTTATTGATTAAATTATCATTATGGACAGATGGTCTTTATAGACAGGTGGTCATTATAGACAAGATGTGTTTGTATCCAGGTTTCTTTGTAAACTGCCTTTTTAACAATATAGGAAAAACTGACCCGAATTACTTCTTTCAGAGTCTGATGTTTCCCAACTTTGAGGAGGGGCGGTACGCGGTGGCCACGGATGGAACCTTGAGGATATCTCGGGTACAGATGGAAGATGCTGGGGACTACGAGTGTGAGGCTCTAAACACCCTGGGGATCATCACTGCTCGCGTCACTCTTACTGTTAGAGGTAAACAGCTAGACATGGACAAGGGGAAATAACTCTTATAATAATTTTCTCTGTTGATATAAATATTTTTCAAGTCTACATTTTATTACAGTAAGATTTTAAGTCCATTGTGCACAAAATTAAGCTTGTTTTGGTATTAAATTCGTCATTTCCTGAGTCATGACTTAAGTGTGGGTCCCTAGGGATAAAAGATATTTATATACATTTTTCAGCCATGTTTACTTAAAGTGTTGGGTTTCTTGTGCACACAAAAAAAATCTTAAGTTTTGTCTTATCAGAATTATTGTCTTACTGAGAAATTATTATCTTATGTTCAGAGCGTGACCCCCGTCCTCCCCCAATCATTGAGATCGGTCCCCAGAACCAGACCCTCCCCACGGACGAGGTTGGCTTTCTCCGTTGTGAAGCTACTGGACTCCCATTGCCACGGATACAGTGGTTCAAAGATTCCTACCCTGTAAAGAGTGACCCTAGGATAATGAAGTTGAACTCTGGAACTCTTCAGATTTCTGGTAAGTACCATGATGCAGCAAGAAATAGTGCCACTATAACACGAAGTACAATTTCTTCAACCCAAAATTTCAAAAGTATGAAATCTGTTTATCTGTTATTTTGAATTTCCCGACGTTTGTTGTGTGTGTGGTAGTTATGTATGGTTTCTCTGTTTTCCAGATTTGCGGGAGTCGGACAGTGGAACTTATACATGCAAGGCCACCAGTGAAACAGGGGAGACAACTTGGTCTGCTGTTCTCCAGGTCGAAGGTACGTTACTCATTCATTGATATTCTCTGTAGAAACATTTGTGTGGTTAAAATTAATTCTGATCCAACTTTGTAACAAAATTCGGTGTGTTATTATATACAAATAGAAATGATCAAAAAATAATTCCAATTTCAGCCCCATCGTCACACCAAACCGTGCCGTATCATCGCTCTCCAGACGTTTCCTCCTTCCCCGGAATCCCAAGTCGACCCATCGTTACCGAGGTAACCAGTGACACCGCCCACCTGTCCTGGACAGCCAACGGCAATCATGGAGACTCGCAGGTGTTCGCCTTTATTGTGGAGTACTTCAGCTACGAAACCATGGATGTAAGTATAATGAACACTATATTCAAAATAATCTACCTTCATTTTTGTTTTAAGATAAAACAGGATGCAAACATCTTGAAAGTGTGTTTCAAATGCTGATGGCATCATTAGACATCATTTTAGTCCATATACTGTTAGCTTGGATATGTTGTTGGACCTTAAACTTCGACAACCTTTTATCAGACTGTAAGTACCTGATGTGTATATATTACTGAGATGTCTGGGTCATATAGATGTTTGTTGCTCTGGTTTTATAGAAGTTTGTGTTTGTTGTCAGGGTTGTATAAATGTTTGATTTTGTTGTCAGGGTTATATAAATGTTTGATTTTTGTTGTCAGGGTTATATAAATGTTTGATTTTGTTGTCAGGGTTGGATGGTGGCGTCGGACACAGTCCAGCAGGAGTCGTACACAATCACCGGCCTACAACCGGACACAAGCTATCTGTTTCTGGTTCGAGGCAAGAACTCGCATGGAATTGGGCTGCCTAGTCCACTGTCGGACCCCATCCGCACCAGACGTGAGTTACCCAATTTCTTTAGTGTTCTGATTTGATTTCTTACAGAAATAAAACGACATGCCAGGAAGTAGATTACTTGTGAATGTTCTGTCCACTTTTAAACATTTTTCAGCTGTTTTGTCAGAGCTGATCCGTACAAATGAGTAAAGACTGTAAAAAAGATCTCCCTGTTGTCTTAATCTGTTTGTAATTTTACTCTGGTAGACATTCAACACAAGTCCACCAGATATTTGAGGACTGCGATCGTAGGTAACACACCACGTTTTCTGTTGTAGGACCTACTAGAGGTATTGACACGCCGGATGAAAACTTCAGCGGGATCATTGTCCAGATGATGGAGGGCGTGACCATCAACTCGAGCGCAATCCGTGTCACATGGCGGGTATGTACTTTACTACAGCTATAAGAGATAAATTGAATACAAATGCAGTAATATGGTGAAATTAAACTTAAATTAAAAATTATTTTTTGGAACTTTCTCTGTCTTAGTGTGCCTAATATATATATGTGCACTTAGCAATTTGCGAACATTTGAGTGACTTCTGAACCTTCCAAACTTTCAAGAAAGTAACTACAAAAGACAGCTTTTCTTGTAAGCTGGTAAATTTTGGTGAAGAAATCGGACTATTGGACTAGAAAATAGATGGAATGTTAATTAAGTTGAATACGGCACTTCAGATATGTGACCATACATTGGTTTTGACCACTTCCTAACCGAAGTAAAGAAGTAAAGTACGATACTTTGTGCTGTAATGTCACCCTCTTGCTTGTCCTACAGGTGTTGAAGGAGGTGAATATGATTGATCGGTTCGTAGTCCAGTACACGGAGATCCTTGAACTCCAGCGTCTATTCCGCGGCAAATCGTATCAACAGACTGTGGGTACCATGTACCGTGCCTTCACTCTGAGCCACCTGAAGAGTTCCACTTGGTACGAGGTTTGTGTGATGGCGTATTACAACGGTAACTCGCACACCCCGTGTAGTACGCCCCTCAAGGTCCAGACGTCCGAGTCGCGCCCCACGGCCCCTCCCGAGGACATCATTATTCACAAGGAAAGTGACAGCAGTATACACATCCAATGGCTGCCCCCGCCCAAAAGTCACCGTAACGGCGAGATCCGTGGATATGAGGTAGGTGGCAGTTTACCCGTTTAAGATCATACATAATCACTTCATACGGTATAATATATTCGTATTTATGTATAATAAATCGGGCAACCCAACTCTTTTATTGGTTAATTTGTTTGAATTTCAATAATTATGCAAAAAAAATAATTCTTGATTTGTCACTGTTTTGTGTGTAGGTGGAGTGTCTGAGCTCGGACAATAAACACAACTGTAGCATACGTGTAAACGGAACTACCAACGCAGCCACCATCAAGAGGCTGGACGCAGACATGACCTACACCATCAAGGTAGCCGCACGCACCATCAAGGGTGCCGGTGTTTGGAGCAAGGCTTTTATTGTTGGTAAGTTGAACTTTCTTCGACTCCTTATCATAATTTACGTTTAATAGACGTTTCTTAATTGTTTGTTATGAAATGATATTTTTTGTACATTTCATCGTGATCAAAGGCTGTCAAACTTGGATGTGTCTAAATTTACCCATATTATATTAAATATTGGAAGTAATCTTGGATACCTCTGGCAGTATATTGCTATGTGTATAAAATTTAGTATATTACAAAAATGACATTTTAGATCAATCAGAGTATAATACATAATTACCTTATTTATCCTGTATAAGCCCAGGGGCCAACACATACTCTCTGACTGCAAGTAAGGGGTGGGCTTATTACAGGACAATGAAAAAGCTTTTGTTGACATTCTTTCCAAACTGCAATATATATTGGTGGGCTTATTACTAAGCACGGGATTATTGCTGGATAAATACAATAATATTTTATACTGATTTGAGTATATTATATACCGAGTTTATCAAATTATCTTTTAAACTGATTTGAATACATTTAATTCTTTATCTTTTTATTTTATATTAATTTTATACATAAGCAATATATCTTTATAAGATCATTTATCTTTCATATTAATTTGAGTATATTCAAAACTCATTTATATTTTTTCTTTGGTCTCAGTGACACTCCTTACATAATGATTTATCTGTCATTCCCTCTCCATCTGTCACCCCTGTCAAACATTTAAACATTCCCTACTTTCCTGAAGGCTGCTTAGCCAAATTTGATCACACTCGCCTCACACTCTAAATGAAGTAAGGGATTTTAGATTTGAAATGGTTATAGTCTAAGCTCCGATGGGGCCCTTAAAAGGAGACGAAAGGGTGTATTATTTTCTTCAAGATGTCCAAGCTAGTATGTTATTGTAGGTATGTGTAATATATAAACCGTTTTTTTATCAACTGTATATTCCAAATCTTGGCCTACTTGATCAAAATTGATGAGATTGATACCAATTTAACTCAAAATATCAATTCTGTGTTCAATAAAAATTATTGAAAATCCAAAATGAAAAATGGTACATGTCTACAGATTCAATTTATTCATCTGACGAAAAATGCACAAAAAATATTTAAAAAAAAACGTCTTATATCTTAATAAGCCGATCGTATATTGAAGTCCTAATAATACAAGATATATATTTACAATACAACTAAAAGATCACAGGTTAAAGGTTAGATAACATTAAGTCTCGGGTCATAGGTCAACTATTAAAGGCTTAGCAGGCCCTTAGATATATCGGGCAAAGCTTCAAAAAAAAAAATCAGGTTTTATGGGTTTTCACTATACGAGTGTTGTGGTGTTATGTATGATTAAAGGTTGCACAAAATAAATATGGCTGAACTGCGATCTGTGATATATTGACGATATTTCAGGACATCTTGACCTTAACCAACGGCTTCCAAAAAACATGATTGAATTAAAATGATTGGTTTTCTTTGAAATAAGATACAAGAGTTTTCAATGAATTCTGCTAAATGGGAGAGAAAACATGTGACAAAGTTTGATTAGATTAAAACCACAAAGGTCGGAGGGGGCAGAGGTCACCCCCGCACAGAGAAATGATTGGAAAGGTTAAGAATCATTGGTTATCTTAAAACCAGGGTAAACATTATATTCAAACACACACCAATTTCTGTATGCGACATCTCCGCGACGATGGCTTGATAAATGGTTATTTTTCTGGCCTCCCCAATTATCGTTGGCCTCTTTATGGGGGGGGAACCATTGTCAGGGAATCAATACTCCCCCTCCCTCGGTACAGCAGCCTCCGAATCTTTATACAGTACCATTATTAATGTGTAGTGCTGATGTGATTAAAATGCAGGTTTTGTGTCGGATGCTGTTCATTAGCACTGCCAATAAACGCACCAAACGGATGGGGGCTGAATACCAGGGAACAAAGCCATTTTATTACCCTTTAACCAGTATTGGGCCTTTAAGGATTTGGTTCAATATTGTTTTCGGTAAAAAAGCAATTTAAGTCATTGGCGTGAGGCGAAACCGTGGAAAACCAAAAGAGCATTCAAAATGAGTATCGGAGCAAACAAAGGATATTTTTCAAGCTCCTGTCAGATGAGACGGACAAGAGACAAAAGACCTTTCTTTTGTTTGTAATTATAATGATAAATTTTACTTCATAAATGTTTGGCTATCCCGACTATCTGGATGTGGATTTGATAAAACACTTCAATTAAGAAGATAGCCAAGTCGAATGTGAACGCATACCATTACGGGACCCACAATGGCCCCCAGTGGGGAAAATCCTGCCCAAATTAACCTTTGTTGCAGACAGAATGAATGTGGTCTTCGTCTTGAAACAGCTTTGAATTAAGTCAGCCCTCCAAACGCACGAGTGATCCTGAATGATGGATGGCAATCAAATGTGACTTTTGAATTAAAAGTGCACTTGAAGTGAAAATTTGAAGAAAATTTTGCGTGCAACCATGCGTGTTTAACTGGTCAGCACTCAACCCCATGTAGAAAAGTCGTCAAGTGGTGTCGGATTTAGATTTATGTGAACCCTATCAAACAAAGCAATTTTGTTACATCAAAATTTTGTAATAATTATTAGATAATATTGACATCTTCCCGATGCTTTTGATTTACAAACTTAGGTATATATTTAAGTAAATTTTCTTATGTTTTAAACAAGAAAATAACTTGCCCAAAAAATTTGTTCAGAATTTAAAATGAATGGATTACTCAGAGGTTCCATTGTATACGGTAACCATGGCAACCCTTTAAATTAATTTATAAAATGACTTGAAGAGAAGTTTATGCTGTCTAAAAGAACATCCTGGTTATCTAGTCTGAAAATCCTAAGCTTAATGGCTCACTTAATAAATGATATTTTCTTAAAAATCCCCTTGACCCTTTCACCACGGTAGACCATAATGGACTCATCCGTATCAATGCATGGTAGAGTCTACTAGAGTTGCATAGGGGTTAAAGGGTTAACACTGCCAACAACTGTAACTATACATTGGGAACTGGGTTTTTTTCTGGCATAACTAAAGCTTTTTATAATAAATCTTTTCTGTGAAGAAAGCCATACCTTGCGAGACTTTTATAAAAGAAAAAAAAAATGAAGATAAAATAAACAATTTTAATCAATCGCAGTGTCTACACAACCATCAAGAAAGTCGAGAAAGGAATGTCAGTCTATTTTATACGTGGTTCCATTGGTAGGGTTAGTGTCTATATCTAGTTTCCCACCTGACATCCTTTATTCCGTCTTTGCGTATTGCAGAGTTATCTTCTCTTGTGAGCAGGTACTGATTGTTACGTCATTGGTTTGTGTGAGAAAATTACGTCGTTTTCTCAAAAATTGATGACGTTGCTCTCACAAACAAATGTTGTAACAATCAATACCTGCTCACAAGAGCAGATAACCCTGCAATACGAAAAGACGGAATAAGATGTGCGAGAATTATATAGGGGAGGTAAATCATGTTCATTTTGTATTCACAGGCCCGGAGCAGCCCAGTATCATGAAGGAGACCTGGTTTATCGGAATGCTCATCGGGACTATTGGAGGCACCCTGTGGATCGCCCTGTGTATATTTAGCGTCTGGCTTTGTCGTAAACGCTCCAATAAAAAGAAGATGATGAAGAACGGCATGTACAGTGGTGAGTAGGGCGAAAAATATCGTAAAACATTGTCACGTTGTCTGGTTGACGTCTACATCTATTTTTATCCAGTGAGTAGAATCAGAGATATAGATCGCGTTGGTTTTCATTTGTGCTAGACTGGAGATCAAATGAAAAAAGTATTTGAAAAATTAAGGATTTATCAAGTGACAGGTGCAGAATGATGTGATAAAAAACTTGACTGTTATGAATTTAGTAATGTGTAATATTTTTCTGTATTTACATGCCCAGTGTATGTTCCTTTATAAGCATTACCAGAAGAAATTGCATTCACAGGGCTATGAATGCAATATGATTGTCATTTTAAAGCTTCTCCTCCAGACTCGAATTTAAATAATTCAAAGGAACACCTGTATTTAGATCATTGATAACTATGAAATTAAGAATGTAAGAAATTTGAAATGTGTGTCTGTCTGATGTCCGTTTCAGTTCCTATGCACAAGACGGAGGACACGAAAACCTGCAACTCTTTCTACCGGAACGGTTACGGACAGAAGGACGTACATAACTGTGTTGGAGGTATGATATTCGAATACAATTATATGTTATATATGTTGTATACAGATATGAGAAACCACCCTGCAATTTGCAGAAATCCAGAAACAAAATTAGAGATACTAAAGTTCCTGGGAATCTCACAGAGATTATAGAATGTTAATTTTTACCCCTAAGTTTTAAACTTGAATCACATGAATTAAAAATCAATACATTATACAGATATTTATGATTATGTTTATGTTATAATACATTATACAGAAATTTATGATTATGTTTATGTTTATGTTAATACCTGGGATGCTTAGTTATGGTGGAGGTTTTTTATGGTCATGTCAATTTCATAAATATTAAAATCTGTTCTTGACAATCTACACTGAGAGACCACCTGTGTTAAGAGACCACCTGTGTTAAGAGACCACCTGTGTTAAGAGACCACTTTTAATGTTCCCCATTGTAGTGACTTTATTGGGAAAGAACCTGTATTAAGAGACCACCTGTGTTAAGAGACCACCTGTGTTAAGAGACCTAGTCTTGAGGACTTTCCAGGGAGGCTTCTTGATGTTGGTTTGATTGTTGAAAGTTTTTGAAATTTAGATGACTGCTGTTTTGTACAGGTATGGGTTCTCAGTCTCCTGAGGCGTCTAACTTGCTCGACCACAAAGACATGGAGCTACAGGACCAGAATATCTACAACATCCCTCAAATGAAGACGTTCTACCACAAAAAGGATCCGGTCGCTCCGTATGCCACGACAACCCTAATAAATGCTGGGCTCATGAATGCAGGGAGCATGGGGCGACCGACACCCGGTATGGAGCACATGTTTCGTCCAATCACAGGCACGAGCGGAGGATCAGGTGACAGCTGCTGTAAACACGAACACGGCAGCAGTGACTCTAACACGGACAACAGTCGGCCAAACACAGGTGAGTGGTCACTAACGGACTTACTGACCGATCGGCTCGCCACACCCTTACCTAGCTGCAGTGTATCTACAATATATCTAGCCATGTCAAGTAAAGTCTCATAGTACGTCTTGTATTGGTTCACTGTTTTGTTAAATCCTATATTTTTTTCCCAAAAAAGTTTACCTTTTGTTTAAGATGCCTTCTGTTTTTGGCAAAATTTGCGACCTCTCTCCCATCAGGAGTTTGGACTGCCTTTCTTGTCAAAAGATAGACACACACGCCTTTCAAAATCCTGTTCCACCCCCAGAGACCATAGCTGATTTAAACCAATGGCAGATCATGCTAGCGACAAACTATGAGAGACTTTACTTATCATGGCTGACGCAAGTTAGCCAATCATGCATTCTTACAGGTCGTCATGCTTAGAAATTTGGTTAGCGACGACCGCCTCGCCTTGTGTGGAAATGTCTGTGGCAGTTTTATTAGCGTAATTAAAAAAAAAAAAAAGTCTTCCATATTTCTCCTGATATCAAACTTAGTCTTTTACAATATCCTTTTTCAGTAACTAATATTGCAGTTGACATTTCGTTCTATATAAGACTTGCCGAGTTGTAACAAGAAAAAACATAAAAAAATGTAAAGAAAATAACTGTTCAAAGAATTAATAAAAAAAATGTGGACAAAAAAAAAGGGAACAAAAAGGAAATTGGAAAAAATAAGCACATGGCAACAACGAATAAACTTTGCAAGTAACGTGATATTTGGTTGGGATTTTATCCGTAAAATCAGTTTTAAACCGATTTTCTTTCTTAAGAGACCATCTCTGTTAAAAATCCTCTTTAGGACCTTTCCTTGTGTGGTCACTTCATAAAAATTTTAAGGAAATTTTAGATTAAAAAATATTTTTAAATTAGACTTTTATTCATATTTGTGGTCATTTACTTGAACAAAACGGCAAGTAATTCTAAAAAAAAAGGAGGAGTTGAAGGGGACATAACTCTGAGCATGATAAGTGAAATGCAGGGAGAAACAGAAAGCTGCCACAGACATATGCGAGTGTATTTTGGTAGTGGATGCTGTTATAGTTATATATTTATGTCACCAAGTACTGTCACGCACACAACCATCGGCTTATTTCACTTCAGAAAAATAGGTGAAACATTTCTGTTAATGAAAAATCCCTATTATTAAAAACAATGAATATAAACCAAATTGGATTTAAAAAAAAAAATCAAATCTTTTTAATGCTTTATTGACAGAAACATGCTTGTTACTTTCTTTTGCTGTGTGTTTTATAAATCTTGGAGAGTTAACTCCCTTAGCTGTCTCCCATGTTCGGCGACAGTATAAACTCTCAAGATTTCATCTCCCTCCATACGTATGCACCATGCTTGCTATATATGGTGACTGGTTACTGACCTTTATATAGAAACCGCCCCCGATTATCTCCCCTTAGGTGTTCCGCACGATCACAGCGACGCGATGCAGAGTCCGACCAGTGACAGTGGCAGTCATACGACAGGTAAATACGGTAAATGTTTTTTACACTACTTTTCCCGTTATCTCCACAAAATCACCCCTGAAGACACATTTGAACTCTTCCAGTTCAAAGGTTGGAATAGTTCATTATGAAATTTCAGGGGTGAATGATGACTTAATTCCGTTGATATACTGTAAGTGTAGATATTTTGGTGGTATTCTTGTTGAAGTGCTTTTCGCTCTTTGAAAATTGCACTAAATTATGATTGCGCTAGTTAATGTTTTTATATGTAGCTTTCAAATACATATATCGTGAGTGCACAATTCATCAATGCTCTAATTTGTTAAAAATTCCACAATACACTAAATTTGTGTCTGCTAAAGTAAGTGCTCTTACAGTAATTTACTGTCATTTTGGATAAATAACCGAGCCCCTTTATGAATAAAACTCATAAAAATACAATGTAAATTCATCATTATTGACAGATTTTGTGGAGAATTCATTATATATACTTTCAATATAAATAATGTATGCATTCTATAACATGCTAGAGTAGTTTTATACAGTGTTATTCACATTTAAAATATATATACAAAGAACTGAAAAACAAACTTTAAATTTTTTATTTTTTATTTTTTTTGATGTTTGTCATTTCACTGCTGTTTAATTTGGTCACATGACGGGTATATAGTCACATGACTTGAATATTTTGATCACATGACTAGTATAAGTTGGTCACATGACCAATTCTATAGATATATGTTCTGTACATGACGTGTAACTTCAATTGTCGTCAACCAGTGAGAATTTTTTGTATGATTCAGATGAAAACGGACTGTTGATCAAACGAGGAAAGAAATCTCAAAAACAGATGGCACAGCCAAAACAGGCCATGGTGAATTGGGCCGAGTTTTTACCTCCACCACCAGAACACCCACCTCCCAACGAGATGGGACACCCGGGCAATCTCGTCATGAATGAGAACTCGGGTAACAATTTAGAATATGCTGAAGTGAGCTCGGAACGAGCTGGAGGGACCAGGAGTCCAATTTCTCCGATGTCTAAAATTTCCTCGTGTTCTTGCCCTGTGCCGCACAACACGCAGAACTGGAACGTTCCAGCTTACTCGGACAATGGCTGTGTGCGCTGTAGTTCTCCCAAATACTGTGAGAGTTGGCACTACAACCCTGCCCACTATAGCGTGATCCAACAGCGCACACAATCCCCCCGAAACACCGACACGTGGGGGCAGAGAACAATTGCATGCATGCATCCGTCATCACGGGGCACGCCCGTGGACCTGCGTTGTGCGCGGACCTATCATAGCGATCAGGAACAGGCGGCAATGCCCGCGTTACATAACTACAAGATCGCGCCCGTGCCCAGAGAAGGCGAGTGCTATCAGTGTTTAAGTGACAGTGACCGCGGGTCTGGGGGTTACCACACCCTTCGGGGGTGTAGGATGAACAGTATTCATGGGGGGTCGGGCTCCGACGGAGGTGGCGGCACCGCAATGGACCGCGGCTGTCAATCATCTCTACCCAGTGTTACCAACGAGTGTATACACCCGGCAATGTACCCTCCTAGGTGAGTTCTACTATCGACTCAACATTCTAATGAATATTGCATCATTTATCGAGACACTTATTTTCCTCCAGATTTGACACATGTCACGTGATAGGGGGCATATTTACTTTAAACGGCGATACTCTGACAGCAGTTACACCAATATGCAAAAATCCTGGTATTTAGTTTTCTGCAGCCTTTCTGTCGAGATGCTAGTCCATAGATATCACTTTAACGAAGGTTGTAAAATTTCAGCTGTTTCTACGGAAATTTACCAAACTTGATGGAAATGGCTTACTACAGATTTACCTTCATAGCGGAATTATACATTATTGACCCCCATTATGTACCATGTGATCACCAAATCAATTGACTTTAGTTCCGTAAACTTGTATCTCGGAAATAACATATTAGTCTACTTGATATTTGAACAATTAAAAGATTTTCTCCAAGTTTGTAGTCTTATTTTGAACTTTTAAGACTTTCTCAGCTGTTCAAGTCTATATGTGTACATTAAAAAGATTTTATCTTCAATTGTACTTTGTATAATTTGTACACTTAACTCATTCACCCCTGAAATTTAGTAATAAACTATTCCCATCTTTGAATTGGAAGAGTTCAAATGTGTTTTCAGGGGTGAAGATGCCCCATGGATGAATGAATTAAAATAATTTTCGCTACAAATTTAGTTTATATTGTACCATACAAATATTAAAAAATTCAACAGTTGTAGTTCATGTTTAACTGTCAAAAGACTACTAGCGTTGAGTAGTAATATGAATGTACACTATGAATAATATTTTGAGAAAGATAGATGTTTGAATTTGTGATTTGAGTATTGTTGTGTTTTTGTAGGTATGAACTGACTGACAATGGCCAGCACATGAGTTTAGCCATGGAGGGCTATAACAGGAACGCTGACTCCCCCACCTCTGAGGGGGGTCTAGACTATGTCGGTGAGTCAGATGTGGAGATCCCAGGGAGAGTACCCTCGGGACATGAGTGTCAGTCTCTCCCCTCGGGACACCAGTGTCAATCCCCTCCCCAGGGCCATGACTGTCACCACGAGGGGCAGGGCGTTAATATTGACGACAGCTACCACGAGGGGCAGGGCGTTAATATTGACGATGGCTGTACTGACTCAGGTATTTGCCTGGTCTGTAGTGTTAGTGGGATTTTGAGTTAGCTTGGCCATGGAGTTTGCTTGACCTCAGAGTTATAGCCTTCCCTTGCAGTTAGTTTGATCTAGCAGTTTGTGTGACCTTGCAGTTTGACCTTTGGAGATAGCTTGACCTACAGTTAGCTTGACCTTCGCTTTGGTGATACAGCTAGTGTGACCTATAGTTATATCCCCTGCCTGGTGTATCTGAGGCACTGCGTTTACTAACACAACTAATGCTTGCCTGACATGTATTGCTGGGCTTTTCTGCTGGGGGTCCATTGGTTGACAAAATGATTTATCAGCATTTAGTTCTTATTATCAATTTTCCTGAGGATTTTTCTCTGTTTAGTGCATGACAAACTGCCTTTTTTACCATTCCTCCCTTTTCTTTGTCATGCGAAATTTTAACCAGAAAATTGAATTGGTAGTAAATAATTGTAAAAAAAATGGTCAAGGGGAGATAGCTTATTAAAACAGCACATGACAACTGCAAAGATCATCGCTAAAATATCTTGCACCCGAATAAAGGGATGGCTTTGTGCAGTTTACTGAGTTATCTTTCTTGGTCATTTTGTATACTTGAGTTACCTACCCTTGACCACTTTGTCATCTGGAATTATCTCCCCTCCAGCTGGGTTGTTACTGGAGTTACCTGCCCCTATCTTTGAATCTTTCCAAATTCCTGCCTGTTGCCCAATTTCATTGCCGTGGTTACACAGTACTTCTGGATTATAAAGATAAGAGATATCACTATTCTCAGGTACTTCTGGCTCTGTCTCATCTTGTGATATCTATAAGATGTCGCAGTATTCCCGCAGCTCACACTTCCTATTCGGAACGCTTGAAAATAGACCCTAAACAAAAAATGAATGTTTATTACACAGTATTAACTGGGTTTGCTTAGCTTGATGCATCACAGATATAAATATATATATGATACATGTTATATCTATATCCTATAGTGGCACATATACCTGATGTATATAATTACATATCATTTTGTTGACATCAAGAAATGTATTAAACCTGGCTTCACTTCAAGATTGCAGATTTGCTTAAAATGGTTTTGAGTTTTAAGCTTTCTTTTTCTTAATTGTTTGATCCTTTTTAGTTTTTGTTGGTTTTGGCTAATTTGAAAACTTTTTAAATCTAAATTGTGGTCAATTATAAATATGTAATATATGAATTATAATTAATGTTACAGTTTAGTTATATACGTAAATTATCATTTTATAGAAGCAGTGTATAGAAAACGCAAAAACAAACTATACTCAGTGTGCATTTTGTGAAAAGTTTTCAATATTTTTTATCGAGTCTATTAATAACTGATGTTAGTTTCATTTTATAAATTGAAGTTTGACCTATCTGTACAAAATTGAATTTAAAAAAATAAACTCGCACGAAAGCAATAAACTGATTAGAATGTGCATTTGAAGCATGTTTTTAACCCTCAGAGACCTCAACCCTCTGACCATGAGTTGATTTTGATCCTCTGTCTATACCCCTGTATAGGTCCCCTCATTGACCGGTGTTTTGTATTGCAGGGTCAATGTTAGCGTCTTGGGCGAGCGTCACAGACCAGAGTAACACAGACTGCAGTAGTGTGAGGTCTAGTGCGGCTAGCTCCAGTGACGGGTCCTTCCTTACGGAGGCCGACTTCGCAAGCGCTGTTGCGAAAGCAGCGGAAATGTCCGGCCTCACTGTCGTCGGTACGACGGTCTGTGATCCTAAAACTGGGAAACCAGGTACGGACAACGAAATTCTCTCAAAAAAACCCACCTTCAGGTTCTCACTAATCTCACTTCACTTTCTCACAAGTCTCACACCATGTATTCTCATTACAAATACAACCCTGTATCCTCACAAGTACCATTACACATCATGGCAGTCTGGCATCATTTTTCACAAAAACGTCCTTTTAAACAAATACATTAGGAGATAGTTACCATCAAATGGCATTGCCACTATATAACCCTACCAAATTCAGTTGGCATTCATATAGGCTATGAATGCTAACTGAAAGCAGTGCAGTGCTTAAATGAAATCTTATTTACAACTGCACTGTGTTTAGTCAACAACTGCAGGCATCCTTTGGAAAACCAGATCATGAACGGTCTCGAAGTAAATCTATCTTTTGTTCGTATTTTACTACAGTTTTATCAATTTTTAGTTTCATTAAAATTATGGTTTACTTACTCTTCGTTATATTCTCTTCCTATATTTTAACTCATTTACCCATGAAATTTCTCACAATGAACTAGATATTTCAATCTTTGAATTGGAAGAGTTCAAATGTGTCTTTAGGGGTTAAATGAGTTCCGTGTACATTGTGAATTACATATATATTTTACCAAATATTTCTCCCCTTTTCAGTGAAGAGACAGCGGCGCCACCACAGAACGGCCCGACCCAGTAGTCCCTACAGCACCGACAGTAACTTCAGTGCGGTCGCACATAAACCCTACCCCAAGTCACAACGAAAGAAACAACTGGTGGAGCGGGGAAAACGAGGAAGCGACCACAAAAAACATGATCCCTCCCCCATCCCCGAGGGTCAGGTCATGCGACAAGGCATACAGGAAGGTGAGGAGCGCAGCAACAGCCATCTCTACTGTGACTGGCTGAATTGATCAATAAAATATTTTATTGCAGTTTCTTTTTTAATAATTTATTTGAATTTTGGCAAAGTAAACAATGCATGCAAACAATAGTATCAAGTTTAAGGATTTTCATTCCGCAATGAAATTCTTTAAAACTTAGTCGGTGCTAAAGGGTGGAAAATGATCTCAATGCTTCAAACATCCCCGACATACTAAGCCCTCTGCTTCAAGTCATTATAAGCACGCATTACTACGATTATTTATCATATATTGAGTTTTTACCTTGTATGTTGTATCTTGAGTAATATTGATTTTTATTTTTTATTTTGCTTCAAATATTTTCATTTCGTTTTCTTATCTTATACATTGCATGACCAATTCTTTGGGCTTTATTTTACATTAGCAGCAGTTGCTTGTTTTATTCAATGACAGTTCGTGAAGACGGATTGAACTGGCTTTATTTATGTTGCATTGCCTTTAATTAGTCATTAAACAAGAAAAAATATCTTCACCAATAATAAAAGTTTAGCGTACTAGTTTATCATTACCAAAGTGTTTATTTCTAAAGTTATTGGCAATCGTGGAGGGACATGCGAATCAGAAAATACAGACAATTTTATCATAATTGAAATAACTTTATAAACTTAAGTTTGCGATGTTGGCTACATACTTAAAGGGTTCTCCTACGAAATTGGACAAATTCTTGCGAAGACTGTCGACATTTATTTCTGATTTTACCATTTCACCACTTTAGACCATAATGGACTCATGCAGATCAATGCATAGGAGAGTCTACTTAAGTTACATAGGGGTTAAAGGGTTATGCTTATTGTAGTAATAAGCACTAATGAAAAGACTGCTTATCAATTCATTTTTACAATTTAGGTTATTCGTAGAAAGAAAAACTAAATAGCCGGTAGACTGCTAACATATTTATGATTTACGCCACCTTTATTTAGGTTAGCATGACTTACCACACGTATATAGATTTTTGACAGAAGTGAAAAGAATGAATTAGCCAAGTGAAATGTTTTGAACTTTTTATGATAAGTAAGATATTCTAATAAGCTGACATTACTATAGAAACAATTTGATACAAACCGATTTATCTGATCAGAGAGACAGAAGTTAAACATTTTTATTCCTGAAGAAAGATATTGAATGCTTGGTACCCCCTGCATGTGTATTTGGCTGAGCTAGCTGTGAATGTGTTTTCTGATTTTGTTGTAGTACCTGAACCCCCATCATACCATAGGCCTTGCTTTCCTTCGTCTCTCCCCTATAAATCGCCACGACCTGGACACAAGTCCCTCTCCCCGACCTCCTCAGTGCGGTCGCCCCGTAGTCCCGGAGCTCACAGTGCCCTGAACTTCGGGGCTCTGGTCATAGAGAGCAACGTAAGTCGTGTGATGTCTTCTGTGTCGGGTAGAACATCGACCCTCATTCTCGCAGATCTATTTATAGAACAGAACCTGCAGATCTATTTATAGAACAGAAACCATGTCAAACATCGACCGTCATTCGAACAGATCTATTTATAGAACAGAACCCGCAGATCTATTTATAGAACAGAAACCATGTCAAACATTGACCGTCATTCAAACAGATCTATTTTTAGAGCAGAACCCGTAGATCTATTTATAGAACAGAAACCATGTCAAACATTGACCGCATTCCAACAGATCTATTTATAGAACAGAACCCGCAGATCTATTTATAGAACAGAACCCGCAGATCTATTTATAGAACAGAACCCGCATATCTATTTATAGAACAGAAACCATGTCAAACATTGACCGTCATTCGAACAGATCTATTTATAGAACAGAAACCATGTAATACATTGGCCATCATTCAGACATATCTACTGTGCAGTTGTTTTATTTCTCGGGGCTATGTTCGAGGTTGTCCCGATATAAGATCAAGTTCGCACAATTGAGAGTGTTAACCCTTTCACCACTGCAGACCATAATGGACTCATCCAGATCAATGCATGGACGAGTTTACTAAAGTTACCTAGGGGTGAAAAGGTTAAGGTCACGATCAGTACGATCTTTGTTCATATTCATCAAATTGTTCTTTTGCTCAAATTTTAATTCTGTGTTCAGTTCCAGTCTCTTGTTCTAGTGATAAGTTATGTTAATTTCACATTTTGTCAGTGATGTAGAGTAACTCTAATACGCCGTATTTTTTCGTACTTACAGGTTCCTGTGGTGTAGCCAACGTGTGAGGTAGTCAACATATTCTAGTCATCTGAGGTTGCCATGGTTACGCAAGCCAAGGTGTGTCTGTGATAAATTGAGTTTAATTGCTGAATTTTCTACAAAGGATAGAAGAAATCCAACCGCATTTAAGTGGAACTGTTACATTGTAAATTGTCGGAGAGGACGATAGACTGGCCGTGGATTTGTTAGTATTGTTGACAATTTGGGACTAGATTTTTTGCTAAAGGTCATCCCAGACCCGTGTTTCTCCGTGGCGAAATAATACAATATGGCTGCCAACATACAATATGGCCTCCAGTTGCCGTGCTGTTCAAAAGAAATCCAGTCTCCCCAGAACTGCTGTGTTATTATCCACAAAAAATCTTCCATGCAAATCGTTTGTGCTACATTGAGCCACTTCTACTGTGATGCGAGTTAGTCCTAGTGCAGAAAACATTGGCTGGCTTTAATTATCGTATATAGTTTGTGATATGCCAAAGACTTGACCGTGGTCAGCAAACGGTCAGCCAGGCTGACCGCTGTGGGCCAGTCTGACCACTGTCCGCCAGTACATTTCTAGTGAAGAGGAAGAAATGTTTGATGCTTCTATATTGTCTTCCCACAATTTGTGAACAAACAAGCTACACGTTTGAGTGGGCCGAACGATGTTCGTTGTCGCGGTGATGAATGAGATAATTATTGTATGTAACAATTTAAGCAATACAGAAAAAAGAATCCCGAACGCTGTCCAAAATAGATACTCTGTCAGGTAGGACTGTTACAGAGACTTGATGCAGCCTACCTCTGGGTTATTTGTCCCGAAGCTGGAACAGTTTCGTGATCCCGTTAGCCCATTAAGCTGGCCCAGTGCGGTGAGGCCATTAGCCCATTAAGCTGGCCCAGTGCGGTGAGGCCATTAGCCCAAGGCTGGCCCAGTGTACATGTGTTGGGCCAGTTTATCCCGAGAATGGCCCAGTGTGTTGGGCTAGTTTATCCCGAGAATTGCCCAGCAAGATGGGCCGGACTCGAGTAGAAATGCAATACTATGTCTGAAGTGTAAGCAATAAGTGAATGACAATTGGACGCATCGAGACATTACAGGACGTTTACCATCGTCCTGTTACCGTGGTGATATGTTATAAAAATGTCTGAAGATCATGTGATGTGTACCTGTCGCAGTGGGTCGTTCCAGGTCATCCCATTCCTCAGTAGGGGTGTAAGCTAGGTGGTCAGTATACTGCCAAATTGAGTTTAAATTTGTGTTCATCAATCCCAGGCACCATGTGGGAAACATTTTCTGTCCATCTGTCGCAGTTTCTGCACTTGTTAATTGACAATGCCGGACCTGTGTTTGTCTTTTAGACAGGAAGATGAATTATACAAGTCATCTTATAGACACATTCTGGTTAATACTGCAATTGCTTCTCAGAGAATTTTTGTTGAATGGTTGGACTTTCCAGAATTTTTATTTGAAAAAAATATCTTGAATCTTTAATATTTGCATAATATATGTGTATATATAAATATATATATATATATATATATTTATCTTCTGTAGCCTGTTCACCCCTCACAGAATTTTGGAACATTCCATTGATTGAAGGAATGTTCCGATGTTATCTGTGGAGGGGGGAGTATTTAGTGGTTACTTGTTAGAGAGTGTTACTATAGTTACGATAATGTACTTTCAGGATTTTAATTGTCTCTGAGTTTTATCGATGTCCACATTGGACGAAAGCTTGATATATATATCTTTTCTTTCTTCGAAGAAATAACAAAATATGTTCGAAAAATATAAGAACAAAAATTTCCCTCCAAATGGGTCTCATATATAGCTGTAGAATATTTGTGTGAATCAAACTGCAATGTGGGAGAGAAAGAAAGAATAAGAGAGAGAGCAGAAACAGAGAGAACGACAGAGAGAAAGGGATTTTAAAATGGTGCTTATTGATAATTAGCAACAGTGTATAACATTTTAGTGCATTTGCTATAATTTTGGGCTTTAATTGAGATATCATGAATACTGTTATGGTAACTATCAAACTCATTCCATTCAAGGCAATATACACTATTATTATAGAGGAGTTCTACAGGGGGATGCTATGTATGCCTTCCCTCAGCCAAAGGGAGAGAACTCCCGTCAGACCCGTGTCATTGTACAAAACCACCATTCAGCAATAATTGTGGAATTCCAGCCATTTATTTGTATCAAGGTTTAGTCGACATATAGAAAATTAATTTATTTATGGATAAACTGTACATAGATATTTGTTATTGTATATGATCCTAACTGCTGCAAACAACCATGTCCTCACCCCCCTCTACTGTTTAATGGAACAGTCTGGCTGCTAATTTGTAACCCCACCTCCCCTCCAATCTATTATAGAACAGACCACTGAACCCTTCTAATTTTTTCCCCAATTCAGGAAATGTTTATTTCATAAGGGAAATCTTGGACCTGTATCAGGCCAAACAAAACAATTAAGGGTTGCATCGCGAACAAAATTAGGGTCGGTTGGTATATTTTATTTTTTTCAAAAGTTTTTTACATTGTGGCCATGGAGTATAAATCCTTACTTATCAGTGCTCGTCCAAATATGGCCATGAATTAAATCTCTAGGTTCCGCAGTTAAATTTAGGTAGGCTAGATAACCTGAAAAAATCCATTTTTTTCTGTACGTCCATTTCACAATGCCCAACCACAGTCGAATATATTAGACATTTGTTACACATTAGTTAATGGTATAACGACATCTGACGACGATGAACAAGCTATATTCTTTCATATATGTGCAATATTTTGTTTTGCTCAACTTATTCTTGTTCTGTTCTCCGACGTAATTATTTGAATTGTTTAATTTATTCCCTGTAGAGTAGAAATCTGTCACACTGTATTTTCCCCATACTGCGATCCTGGTGATTAATCTTCAGTATAACACATCAGCCAAATTTACAACCGAAAGAACTACAATTCTAGGTTTTCGGAATCGCGGTCCTTCGTTACGGAACAATTGTACTGCTTTAAGCGATATATTCTACCCAGTTGACATGCATTATAGAAGCACATGATAAGATTTGATATTAATCGGCTCCATACAAAATAACCCTCATAGTACGGAGGTGTGAATCAAATCCAAAGTTTTAAGTTGATGTAAAAATTCAGGGTTGCCCGTGAGTTAGAGAGCTGATTGTATTTCTGTTTTTGTTGTTAACGTTATGTTGAATATATGTGAGGTATAAAAGTTAAATTAAGTCCCCAAGTCGGCCATTTTGTGTAAATCTGTATCTTAAGGTTGTTTGTAAGTATAGGAGATTAGTGGACACGTGCAGTGCTCCTTTGCGATGAAGATCTGTGGTTGTTACGATAGGAACAGAATTTACAGTTCTCTCATGGTCATTCATGTCATTAATCATGTTCAGTCAATTTCTCATCAAATAAAATAAATATTGCTAAAGTTATATATTTTTGTTGTTCTTTTTAAGACAAACAGGTTTTCTGAACGACAAGAGTAGATCTAAATCTCTGTAACAATTTATCTTGGATGTAATTCATATTATTACAAAGTTGTAGCAGAACTGGAACTGGTCGAATGTCCGTGACCAGGTAGCTCAAATGGTAGAGCGTCCATCTAAGAGTTTGAATCGAAGGGTCCCGGGTTCGAAACCCAGTCTGGCCATGCACTTTTCTGCTCCTTCTTCATTTGATGCCTGTGACAAACCCTCATCTCAAATAAATGGTGAATGGCTGGCAATGGATATCCGAACCTGGGTTATAAATAGTGATGTCTTCGGGGTGAAGGCTTAGAAGAAGGGAGAGGAATGTAGTGGAACTGGACTGGGATCATCAGCAACCAGGTAGCAGCTCAATAGGAAAAGCCTCCATCTAGAATTTGGAGGGTCTCGGGTTCAAACCCCGGTCTGTGCTGTGCATTTATCCACTTCATCGACACAATAACAGTGGAGAATTTTTTGTGTGAAAATGTTAAGTTCATTTACAATAACAACAAAAATACAGTTAATAAAAATCTATTGTTTTATTTAGAAATCTAATATAAAACATGATATTGCTTCATTAACATCCAACGAGCCCAATGATGACGCAACAAGATGATTTCCGAGGCCAAATGTTCAAAGCCGATTAGCTTGAAAGCAAGTCAACTTAAAACTTTAATTTGGTTAATTTATAAAATTAATTTTGTTTTTCAATGAAATAAACCTGTAAATGGAGTCGGGATGCCCTCCTGATGATCTTTTTAATAAATAAAAAACAACCACAAATATTAAAAAAGTTCTGGAGATTTCCCAAAAAGTCACATTTTGAAATTTGTGTTGACTTGTCTTGAAGCTAACCAAGCTTTGACAACTGCACTGCGATTAAATCTATAAATAGATGGTAAGTCCCATGACCCTCAGACAGGTCATGTGATATGGTCACATTACCCAGATGGATCGCATCTATATATACAGCCCTATGGTTTACACTACCGTATTTACCGTAATTAGCATCCTGGGCACTAAAAAATGGCGGGGGGGG